AGGAAGGCGTCATGTCCTCGGTGCAGATTTATTATCAGGGAGACCAACGAAGGGGGGCTTAACGGGGTCACAGGCTGGTGAACTTTAAAACTTTCCGAATGCCTACGAGAACTCAAGATTACCCATCCATGCAACATGCACAAGCGTAGAAGCCAAATACCTCATTATAATGAGCAGGGTAAGGGAGTAAAGGTTCCCTGCATCCCCATTCATCAATATCCCCTGTTCAATGATTTGCATACCACCGTGTTGGATTCAAAATCAGACTTAGGAGATATAAAACACACGCGACTGAACACACAGGGTTGGTGGATCACATAGGGAATGAGAGCCACAGTGTGCACTTGGTGGGAAGCCAACAGTGGTAAGCTTAAATATGGACTGGCCCCCACCATTGTGTGTGTTGCGTGTGCATCGAGGCAATCTGACTTTGCGGCTTTATAAACGGCGCCGCAGGCGAATGTCATTGGCTTGCCAGGGGGCTCCAAGGTGAAGTTCTGCTGTTGTGCTATACTTTTTGGGCGCAGCAGTTAAGGAAGCACCCGAGTTAATGATACGTAATGATAATAATTACTGGCTGGCTCAGGAGTGCCGTGATCAATGCCTGCATACTAAGCTTGCCGCGTTTGACTCCAAACGCAAAACCAGTGTAAAGGCAATGAGAGTAGCATATCGAGCATTTTGTCCTGAATATTTTGCTTAACGAGTAGGCTTTTGCGATCAATATTATTCATAATAAAGTTAGTTGGGTTAGATCGCGTAACCCACCACCACCCGACACAGCCAATAATTAAGACGTCACGTGAACAAAACGCGCCACCGGTATGTTGGAGAGCCACTTCTGAAAAATCGCCAAATGAAGCTGGTTGTAACCACCAGCGAAACTTCATACTTAAATTGTAAATGTTGTGGGTTCACTCTCCAACACACCGGTGTGCTGAAGAAGTTAACGAGTTGGCTCGTTTCGTTCACGCGAAGAAACATACCAATTGGCCGTGTCGGGTGGTGGCGAGTTAACAACACACACTTTTGTTCACGTGATCTCACCCGGGGTTGTTTTTTTTGGGGACTGACGTTCCCGAGGAAGCTCCCGGCACGTGGAGCAAAACGTTGCCGCTATGCCGAACAAAGCGCGCGTCTGCATGGAATTCGCTTTTCACACCACCGCCGTTAGGATGTTTGGGGTTGGGATCGTGAAATAGCTTGCACGTGTAACGCATGAGACTGCCACTTGCGTCGCGCGCAATTGCAGCTATTGCGAGAGACAGACGGTGCTTTGAGCGGGAACGTTCAAGCTCATTGAGAAGACTTTTGGGGGCATTGTTTCAAGGGATCTGGTTTTGAGAGCACTCGATAAACAATTACAACAAACGATGAAAATTATAATCAACCAATTACGCTCAACTCCTTAACAACAACAACAACAGCAGCAGATAGATTGCTGAACAAACTTCAAAAACACTCTCCACTGCTTCGAGTTCCGATCAATAAGCAATATCAACAGGTCCCGCCGCAATAACAAAAGGGGCATTTGGAAGCAGAGCCTAAGTAATTAATGTCCCGATTTGTTTCACTGATAACAAGTATTAAGCTGCGTTCTTTTGAAGTCACAGTGATAAGAAAGCCTCGCTTCCAGTTTGATTGATTTGGATTCAAACCTGTCCTGTGTTTGTGCTCGGGATCCCAACCTACGTCTTATCTAAAACCTTTTTTTCACATCTCCTGCTCACCACTTATCCCCTGGAAATAAACCGGAGCGAGGATTGATGTGTATCATTGTAACAAAAATAAAGGAAGTTTTTTTTTCTTCATTAGAAGAACACGGAAAGCTGTATATTGCAAGTGATAAAGACAAAAAAAAAAAACATATAGCCCATAACGGTGTTAGGATAAGTGTTGTTAGTGAGCACCTATTAAGGCCTGCACAGCACACAAGGGAGTGGTTGGGTCGTCAACACCATGGCCGGAAGACTTTGTCACTCCAATGCTGATGTTTACGCACCGCACCAGATTATATTTACCGCTGAGTCAACCTAGGGGAGACCGAAGATCAGTTCAGATAATCGTCATTGGTGTTGGCCGTGAGCGGGAATCGAACTCGGGTTGCCGAGTTCGTAGCGCGGCGCGCTAACCGCAAAAATTCCGCAGCCCCGCACACAAACACAAACACATACAGACACGCAGACACAAAGACAAAAATATACAGATACATGCAAACACAGACACAGATCTCCCGTATAGCCTTAACAGGCTGTTGGGGCAAGTGCTGCTATCAATGACCTATGCAGGCCGGTAAGGTACACGTAGGGGTGGGTGGCCAACACCACGCCCCGGCCGCCTTTGTCTCCCCAGTGGCGATGCTCACACACCGTACCAGGTACTTATTTGAGGCTGAATCGACCTAGAGGAGGCCCAGGACCGGTTCAAATTTCCGTCACCGGTGTTGGCCGTGAACGGGAATCGAACTCGGGTGGTGGGTTCGTAGAGCGAAGCGCGCTAACCGCTACACCACCGCTCCCCACATGCATGCACACACAGACATTGGCGTGCACGCACACATACACACACACAAAACTCCCCTACTCTCAACCGCACCTCGTGTATCTGCAGCCTTTCATCGCACGGCCACGAAAGTGCCCAAATCACACCAGGTCTCTGAACAGCGAAGCATAATGGAACCCGGTTTGTGTTTGCAAGGGAGGACTGCCTGTGAATGCCGGGTGTTGCAGGCTTGTGATGCAGGGTCATCTGAAGATGGCAGTACCATATATCAGTGGATTCTTGAATCCATCTGTGTGGATCGTGGGAGCGTTTCCCCCTCTCATATGCATGGTGAGATTTAATCCAGGTACCCTATTTTCCTCCCACGTGCCAAATAAAATACCCATTAGCGAGGTTAACCAAATCCATGAAAATTAGGACTAGGTTTTGCCCTTTATGGCAATCAAACAGGTGGCCAAACACCAAATAGATACGTTTTGCAAGAAATCAAGCCCACATTAACTCCGCGGACTTGTGGTGAACATGCAAACAAACATGCTCTGATAATATATGCATTGCCTTTGAACCGGATTGGTCTGCACCAGAGACACTGTGTAGGCCAATCAGTTTAAAAGACAATGCACGTACAGAATAATCAGAGTAGTTTCTGTTTGCATGTACACCACAAGTACGTGTGGTGAATACAGGCTTGATCCCTTGCAAACTGTTTGTATTTGGTGTTTGAACATCTTAACACCTGTTCGGTTGCCATGAAATGGTAAAACCGAGTCTTATTTTTCATCCTTTGATACTGGGAAAACAGGTCCCATGATCTGACCAAACCCATTGCAGGACCCCTTTAAATGAGCCTCGAGCTCTCCTGGGTAAATGAATAACGGATTGTTAGTGTTATTGTTTATCATCTCGCGAGCATGTTTCCAGCACAATAACTCTGGCCACCTCTGCCTCCCTTGTGCAACCACCGTTACACGCATGCCGCGTGTTTATTGAATAGGCCGAGTCAACCGAAGGGATTCCTGAAACAACAGCAGCAACAGCAACAGCAAAATATCTTTGCGTTGCATCACGCCGCAATTCTGCACAGTGTATTTAATGCAAGGCAGCGTCATGGCAAATTGATTGCCGTGCTCCTAAATTGTGGACAATCGAAGCAACGCGGGTTTCTCGCACAGCAGCTTAAAGCAGTGCGTTAATCAAAATGTTGCGCGCGTAAGCTGTGCATGCAGGCACGTGTGCGTCTGCCTGTGCGAGTGGCTGTGCGGAGCGGTGGTGCAGGGGTTAGCGCGCTGCGCTGTGGATGCTGCGAGGAAAATAAAAAAAAAACGGACTTCGACTCCCGCTCATGACCAATAACAGTGGCGAATGTTTGATCTGGTCATGGGCCTCACCCTCGGTCGACTACTCGGCCTCAAATGAGTACCTGGTGCGGTGTGTGATCATCAGCACTGGGGAGACAAAGGCGGTTCGGGAGCGGTGCTAGCCACCCACCCCCATCGTGTGCCGTGCCGCCCGTCGGCGGTGCTCGCTAACAGCACTTTGCCCTCAACAGTCTGTTGAAGGCTATATTGGGCACCTTTGTCTTTGCCGATGTGTGCGTGTTCATGCGGTCTGCAAATCCGGCGTCTCATATTCCACTGCCCATGCAGGAGCCACGGAGAGAGTGCTCACGCAGTCGGTGCGTTGGGTTCGTTCGGTTCGCAAAATGCGGCTGGGGCAGCGTTCTAATTTTACCACCGCAGCGGCAACGCGAGGCATTTTAATGATCCCGAAACAGCTGCGGCAAGCGCGGAACTTCCGTCGTGCCGCACGGCGCAGAGTACAGCGTGCAATGATTCCACCTAGACTAGTGCAGCAGATAACAGGGCATTTGTATTATATAACATTACGTAACATTGTATTATATAGCATTGTATTATGTAACATTGTGCATGCCCTGTGTATATATTTAACTGATTCTAGCAAAACATAATAATGAGTCTGCAAATGCTTCTTACAATTAATTGGTTGCCGTTATGTCAATCCATTCCTGGACGGGGGGCCCCTTCCGTACACTGTGGCAGTCATCGCGATACCTCACCACACTGGCCAGTACATGTCAGTGAGAGAGAGATGTGTCGAGGACTGGTTCAGATTTCACTTGCTGCTGATGTTAGCCATGGCCCGCTCATGGAACTCAGGTCATTGGGTTCAGAGTGCAATGCGCTAAAAACCCAGGGACCACGTGTGTGCGTGTGTGCGTGCATAGTTTAATCGAGCTCGCTCAATCTGCTGTCTTGTTATAGTGGGGAGCGGTGTTGCAGTGGTCAGCGCACTGCGCTACGAACCCGGCGACCCGAGTTCGATTCCCGCTCATGGTCAACACCGGTGACGATTATCTGAACGGGTCCTGGGCCTCCTCCAAGGTCAACTCAGCCTCAAATGAGTACCTGGTGTGGTGTGTAAACACCGCCACTGGGGAGACAAAAGCGGTCGGGCGTGGTGCTGGCCAACCTCCCCCTCGTGTGCCGTTCCAGCCGTCATATGTACTCGCTAACAGCACTTGCCCCAACAGTCTGTTAAGGCTGTATGGGGGATCTTTATCTTTCTCAGCACATGCATTTGTTGAGCTCGCTCAATCTTCTGTCTTGTTAGAGTTGTTGAATATTGGATGACATCTGTATAAATGCATTGTATTTTGTGTATGGCAGGAAAGCTGAATGCATGAGGAAGCTCCATGCATTCTAAAGGGTAAACACTCAGACATTGCACAGAACATCAAGAAATGTACTTGCGTAACTCCTTATGGTAAGCACTTCATTGCCTTGCACATTTAAGAGTTCCACCTCTGTGGGAACCACGAAACCTTTCGCCATTTGCCGATCCTCCTAAGTGCAAGCTCGTGTTGAATGTCATCAAGGGCGAATATTCATTGGAGATTGAAAGCAGAGACACATCCACCCACTCCCACAACTCACCGGAATCTGTCTCTACGGCGTGGTTCAAATTACATGCTCATGTTGGCAAGCACAAATGGGATATTATTATTTTTCTCACAGGTCAGCCATTCACGTGTACACCCTTCATACACAACCCTCTGATGGGGAAGCAATTATTTAATTATAAACAAACACGCGTGTACTTTATGTAATACTTTCTACAGATTGCAATGCGTTTGTGCCAGAGAGATGTGTATTTAGCCCATTCGAAGAAACAATATGTACACTTCAGGTTACTTAAGAGTATAAAACAAATGCATTTTTGGTGGATGCGCAGACAATTTTAGCGTTAGCCTGGTCAACACTTAGCTAAGTGAACCTCCTTGGCTTCTGCAGTCGAATAAGATGAAATACTTAGGTACGAAGAGCCAAAGCCGTGTGTTCAACATTCGTAATTGAGGACCAATTGCATGTGCACGGGCAGTTTTAATCGCCGGATCAGCGAGTGCCTATGTCCAAATGTGTTGTGGGAAAATGTTCAGCACTTGTACCAGTGGTGAAAATGGTGGGGCCCGGTATATCACAGGATCCTATCCAATACACATTTTGAAATCGTTGTTCGAAGAAATGTGAAATGTGTTGTGGCACAGGAAGCAATATGCCCGAATTTAAATTGAATTATAGAATGCTATTTTAAGCCTCATACAAGGCCCAGTCATACGAGTCATGCTGGGTGTTAATTATATTATTATTATTAACGTAGCATTCAAATGAAATGGGGTTAAATGTGTGGCATTAATGCAATCTCGAATGCATAACGATTGACCAGCTTAATGTTGTACTTAGGAAGAATTTATATGTAAAGAAATTAAATGGTGTGATATTAAGCCTTGCAATCAAAGTCCGTAATTGTCTGCCAAGTCATTAAAAGTTTACCCATGTCCCCGAATGCATCCACACTTGCTCTGAATGGCTGCTGTTCAAATTCACACGCAAGTACAATTCTGCTTGAAATAATGAGATGTCAGGGCTCCATCTGTTTGAAAGTCATCACCACAAGTTAAATGTGCTCTTACCCGTGGTAATAGTGGTGAAATTAGGCATCCTAAACCAGATCAGCGCTTATCAACGCAGCCTCACCAAATTCCTGTTCATTTAAACGATGGCAGCTGCGGGGTTTTCATTGCTTCATTAAAAAAAAGACTGCAACATAAACACATCGACGTAGAATTGATTTTCGTTACTAAAGCTGATGCTTCGCGTGTCTCATGCTAATTGCAAATGACTTGAAAATACCGTTTTTTTTGTTTGTTAAATACATAATAGCCGTCTAAGAGCATGCATTTGTAAAGTGCATACGAATAACACGAACGCATCCTTTATTTTGTCTGGGAAAACCTCACTGAGTGTCGAGACTCTAGCTCGGCAATAACTTGAATACGTGTGTTTGGCATGCAATAGGGACCTACTAAGGTCAGCACAATGATACACATCTGGAATGTTCATTGAAGCTCTAAGGATTAAAAATGCATCAACACTAGAAATAAATACATCAGTGAATGTCCGGACGCATTTCAGTTGAGTCCTGATTTAGGACAATTTGACCAAACTCGTTGATTCATGGCTTGCGTTTTTTTTTTTGTTCACGAGACTTTCTCGGAGAAAATCCCATTTAAGCAAGGGGGAGAACACTCAACCTCGATACAGAGAGACCAACAAACTACTTGCTCTACTGCCTCTATGGCCTCCACTTATTTACACACAACGACCACAATCAATGCATGATCCAGCAAATCCCACATCGAAGCTGCAACATCATTGGTGTGCTAACCGCTAAGCGCTGGATGCAAACGTTCGGTCTTAGTGGCGGTTAAACAATTTACGTGCGTGGATTTCGTAACGCTGTTCAAAACGCGTTTTGTCCTTTAAAGCGATTTTTGCTAGCGATAATAACATTACCTTCTGGGTTGCGATACGAGATGACATGATATACCGTATACGCAAATTATAAATGCATCACCAAATAACGATGTTTCGTCTCCCTCGGTGCACTACAGGCCACGGGAGCGTAACTCGATCATCTCAACCCGCCACCGCACGTTGAACGAGACTCGCCGATTTTGCGCCGTCATCGTCGCGCTTGGGCAATTTCCGCCCGCAACTTTTACTCGCCGTCCACTCAAACAAACGAACAACAAAACGCTTCGTCGGCAAAGTGTTGCCGACCGGCGCCGGGCAGCGCCCGCGGGGTGAGTGTAGAACCTTGCAGGTTTAGATGCTGTGTACGGGCACGTTGCGTGTACGCGCACGTTGCGTGTACGGGCACGTTGCGTGTACGCGCACGTTGAACTTCTTCCGCGCGCCGCACGTGGCCAAGCTGTGCTAATTGGGAGGTGCGGGGTGAACGTACTTGCGCAGGCCACAGACTGGGGGTCGGTTCTGGGCCGGAAGTATCCGTCCTCGCAGCTGCACGACGCGGCTCCACGGGCACGGGCGGAGCTGTGCGGAGGACACTTGGAGCAGGAATTGTCTCCGGCAAACTCCTTGTAGAAGCCCCGCTCGCAAGCTGCACACCCAGAGGACAACCGAGGAGGGCACAACGTCAGGCAGAGCGAGGGTTGACGCACATTTAGTCTTCGTTCTGTTTGTGGTTTTTTTTTTTTACGCCAAACGCACGGTTTATGGCAAGCTCAATGGCACGGCGATTGTCTCCCCCATCAAAAACGAGGCACGGGGCTGGTGCTCATCGCCCATTCGTGGTGCTACAAGAGACAATAGAGGACCATTATTATCTAAAGACCTGAGTGTGGGAAGCGAATAAACCTGCTTTTAACACAGACTGAAACGGAAGGCCCCTGTGTCCCTGTTGGGACACTTTCTTTGTATGTTGGCCCATCTTTGACATTTGCACTAAGTCCTAGGTGGAGGTCAAAGTGCAGCCCTCTAATTTACTCCCCCATACAACGGCAGGCAAAAGCACCTCCGTGAGTGGGAGATCTCCAGATGTATGTATGCATATACCTTACTAAAAAAAAACCTGTATTATGCATGTATGCATATTGAACTTATTAACACAGGCATGGGGGGAATGACAACAAACTAAACACAAACCGTAGTTCTACAGAAATGAGTTTTAAATCTAGAACACCTTGCTGGTTTGATGTCTAAGAAAATTCGTGCATACCCACATTTTACCGCACTACACACGACCTGCTGCTGATCGACTAACTGTGTTGCACCCATTGCTACAAAATGGGTGCACAGAGGCTAGGGGGTTTCAAGAAACCGCCACCATTGCTTCAACTGCCTCACTGCAGGAGATCAAACGAGCATCCTATGGATTGTAAGTTTCTAATGCCCAACCATGAAACCATGGCAGCATCCCACTCATGTGCCGGCGATTTTATTTTCAGCACGAGCGAACATCGGTCGCTTTCAGTTGAGTCCACACTCATGGCAGTGAGGCACTCCGTAGTTAATGGGCCTGTCGAGATTCCAGTACTTAAACCAACGGTAGAAGTATTTCCCTGTGGGGGGAAACTGTGAAGCTTTATTATGATTTTTTTTGCTGAAGTTGGGCAATAACCCTTACATGCCGTGAATTTGCAGAACAGGACTGTGCAACCATTCAACATTAATGCATCTGTGTTCTGCAAGTCTAAGTAAATGCTGTCCCGCTGTGCAGTGGAGAATCATTCCGCTGAATGAACATTGCTGCGGATTCCCCGAGGCCTGAACAGAATGTATCAGGGTGCGTGAAAGAGTGTCGGTCGTTGTCCGATGCGAACCAACATTGGTTGCTGCAGTCCAGCGTCCTGCATTGAACGGAGGCTCCATACGTTGTGACTTCGGTGAAAAGGGATTTAGCCATTTATTTTCATTAATCAACGTCAAAGAATTGCAGTTAAAGGGTCTCCGTGCTCGAAATAACGTTGGGCTATGCCCGTCTCTGATGGAAATCCTGACTTAGTCGTGGAAATTCTACTATTCCCATTATGGGAACAAGTATATCCATAGTAACCACTGTGCCTGTCATAAAGTGGTACTCGTTTTTACCAATCTAGAATTATAAGCTCTTTTTTCACAGTTGTCCAGTAGGGTGGGTCAGAATCCCTGGAGGGATGACCAGGATGTTAACTCATTGTCCCTGAATTGCAAAGAGGGGCACTTTTGATGGCATTACTGCCAGATCAGACATTATTTCGATGTATAATTGCTGATGTGTTTTATACCACGTGTTGTACAACCCGAAAACACATCGGAAAAATACACCATACATAGAAAACCCGGCACTACCTAAACACACGTCAAAGAGAGACGGATGTTTTTTTTTTTCTTTCTTAAATGGAACACAATAAGGCTAGTGAAATAAACACCGCAAGCCGCCCTCAACGATGGCGATTGTATCATTGCAGGCGATCACAGGATTCACACACCTACAAATGGTGTGCGAAGCCCTTTCAAGATTAACATCAGATATCAAGTAACTGGGCGGTGGTGATACGGCGAGTTTCAAACCCACAAAGCCCTTGTAACGTGCCACCTCTTTGGCGAGCACTGAAACCGCGGCGGGCAAATGAAGACGCGGCTTACTTGCGAGACACTTGCTCGACAGAATGTCCTGAAATGTATTCATAGTGCGTTCTTCGTGTGTTGTTATTTTTTGTACGAGCAAATGTGTAGGCACACCCACGGGCCGTCTGACATATTGACAAGGGTATCGATCAATGTGCGGCCGTTGCATAAATCAGAGACGAAGTGTGCACGCCGGGCGACAGAGGCAATGCCAGTCTCCTCGAGGTGAGCGAGCTTGACCGACATTTAAATGTGTCCCGTGTGCAGCCCGGCGCGAATTAACTAATGTAAACCTGTCAGAGCTCTCTCACATTAATGAGTTTTAATGTTGTCCTTCGTGTTATAATGTGACATCGACCTTCTGACAGCCATTGCCTGCACACACCATCATCACAACTGCAGAGTTCAATGACAGATGGGTCCCAATTCATTGCCATTCTAATGTGTCCGTATGTTTGAACTTCTTTTGCACAGTACGTAGCCAACCTTGCTCATCGGAGGTGTAAGCACTCAAGGTTACATCTCCATAGACGAACTGAGAGGGTGAATCTTACATGGACCTCCAAGTTAATGCAACATAGATTTAGCACACTTGAAAAAAACATGTTTTCAGTGCTTATTAAGTCGACCTCAAAGGGAATGTTAAAGGCACAATCTTGCAATTGTGCATGCAACAGCTTGTGCATGCAACAGCTTGCGAAAGGGGCCTCCACTACGGGAACCCCTTTAGAGAATATTTTGGCAAAAATTTCCACACGGCCAGACATCTTTGTCCACACGTGACTTGCCAATCAACTAACTGTAGCGGACGCAGGGACACTGTCCTAGTTGGGTGGACAGAGGCCCTACATAGCCAACCGTGCTAACTGAAAAGCGCGGGTGGGAATGTCAACAAACTAAACACAAACAGCAGCTCTAAATAAATGAGTTTTCAGTCTGGATTTAAAAGTGCATAGCTCCGGTGGCTTCGTGAAACATCGGAGGGAAGAGCGTTCCAGACGGCCGAAGAATCGCATCTGAAAGCGCCGCGCGATGCGGTGGTCGCCGTCTTTTGTCCGATGGGCTCTGCGAGGGTGACCGGAGTTCGAGCGATGGTTTATGCCCCTTGGCGAGATGAGCAAGGCATTGTGGTTCATTTGTGGCGAGCACTTTGTGTGTGTAATGAGTGCTGCACACAAACTCGAAAGTCTGCTGTCATTTGGATGGTACATTAGGCCTCGCTGCCAAAGTTGCTTTCAAACGCTCAACAAAAACTTTAAGATCGCGCGATGCTCTCAGACAGAACAGTTGCTTTGTGCCAATGTCACGGTCAAAGCATGCACCTGCTGCCATTCATCAATGCAATTAGGACATAATCCCGCATACAAACATCGTCTCAGTGTAAACAAGACCCCCTAGCTATCCAGTGAACCTTCTCCATACGGGAAAACCCACACTACAGCTGCAGAATTATAATTACACAGTCATCCTTTCAAAACGATTAAGACTGATAAGGGGGACAATACCACACCATATATTGAAATTAAGCTCTGTTTGTTTTCAATGGGGTTGACATAATTTTTGGGAGGGCTGGTGAGATGGTTAGCACGGTTTGGTATGAACTGGCAATCCTAGTACAGAATCCTGGTCAATAGAGTTCCCACCTGGTTAAAACAAATGAAACTGAAAGTGTGTGTCTCTCTCTCTCTCTCTTCAATCGAGCATTGGGTACTACTGTCCGTGTAAATTGTCACCCCCGAGCCTATGGACGTGAGCTTTCGCTTGCTTCCATCTAGCTCTCCCTTTACGGAGACCGCTCGGTCCATGAACTTCTGGCAACAGCAACAGCAAGTCCTCCACTGTTGGCGATCATCATATCCCATCTGCTGCTGCCGTTTCCACGTCATTACGCTCCAATCCAGTGCCCCGTCAACCCCATCAGTCAAACGTGTTGTCTCTCATCCTCTGGGTTTGTCCCTTCCGCTCGCATCGCCCCTTGCTTGTTTTCTGGATTCCTGTTTGGTGGCATTTATCTGACCTGTGGTCACGAGCACCACCACCGTTCGTATGGCAGTGGCCAGTCTCTCCAAAACATAACCGCTGGCCATCGGTCAAAGACGGTCACCGCACCGCATGCTTTCATATGCGCTTCTGCGGCCGTCTGGAACGCTCTTCCTTTCTACACTGGGAAGCCACTGGAGCTATGCGCTTTTAAATCTTGATTTAAAAATAATGTCTTTATAACAGTTTTTTTGTGTTATTTTGCTCTTCTTCCCCACACCTCCAATTCGCACGATTGGCTACGTATGGTGCAAAAGAAGTTCGACATACGTGCCCATTTAACCTCCCAACCCGCCATTTCTGAATTAAATGCTATTGCCAAAGCATCATCATGTGTATCATTATAGTTTTAAATAAGAATGATAAAGGATATTAAATCCCACGCTATTTGCGCAACATATATTTCTTTCTGGCCGACCATCACTAATTCTTTCGCGTGCACGTGTCGCTTTGAAAAAAAAAAGTTTAACAATCGTGTTAACGCGCATTTAATTGGCCCGCTCAAAAGGAAAAGCTCAACAAGTTTCCAATAAAGTTGCGCGAAACTTTATTCAACGACAGTGCGGGTGAACTGCGGGTCCCTTTGTGCCACACCCATGTCAAAACGAAAAAGAACACTCTGCCAAGATGTAAAAAATATATATTCACGCATGTGAAGCGTGCGTATTTTTTTTTTACTCAGTGTCTCGAGTTATGCTTTTAGAGTAGGTTGGGGGGGGGGGATTGCCCAAATGGGAGTGAAAACAATAGCGCTTGGGAATGGAATGTGACCATTGTGGGTTCTTGACAGCTCCCTGCTGCCAATGCAGATGAATGGACAGCCAACAAAACACAAGAGAGCGGGGGATTTGCATACGGACAATTGGCTGGCTGGCATTAATGCACGGGGCCGCGCTTTCTGTGCATCTGTAATCGCCGTGGAACTGGATACGCGGCCCGGTAAAACCAGTT